GGATAGCATTTCAGTATTGTACGCATACATAGATAGAGAAATATTTTTGAATTTGAATCCCCTTGCTTTCTTAGTGCACAATATGCTGATAATATGAAATGCTAGTTTAGTCTTCACACTACTGCACTAGCCCCAGTGCTACATGTCTATGTCAAGAAAACATTAACTTTTTGATGGAAAGAGTAGCCCTTGGTGTCCAAATCGATTGTTTTGTCGTTATTATTTGGTTCAGTTCTTGGTCTCTAGCCTTTACCCACTCTGTGGTGTACATGACTCCCAGTCAGTTTTGACTTTTCTACTTTCTGTTCACCCATGGACTACCACCATCTGGAACCCATGGTTCACCTGAAAACTCTACATATAGAACTTTTTTATAGTGTACGATAACCGTTTTCAAAACACTAATTGAAGAATAACAATATATCATTTGACAATTTTAGTCTTTTGATGGTATGACATGTACGAAGCGGATAATGACAAAAACATTCTAAAAAAATCCTTGAAAAATTGAAATAATCAATCATGGACGATTTTTACACGATTCACGAACCTAGGCATTCGTCTGGTGCTGGAATAGAAGTTATAAACATTATATTTAGTAATTATAACCTCGAAAAATTGAATACGACTCTGTTTATGTTAGTATCAAAGAAAATATATTCTGAATTGGACTTTTCGAAAAATTATTTCGGCCGCCATCTTGTTTTTTTCGATAAATCTACAAAACTGAAAAAGAAAAAGTGTATCTTCATCGGGCCACTCAAGGCTCACTTGTGGTTTTACGTTATTTGGAAACATGACATTAATGGCAATCGTTTAGTTAAAAAATAAAATCGGGGCAGAGTCGGCGTTTAGTCAAAATCTACGAAAAAGGGAAGATCAATTTTTCGAAAAAAAATTCAATCGGCAAGTTATACTCGATATAATTGATCAATTTCCACGAATTCGGTCTTAAAATGTTCTTCAATAAGTTCGCCAGACGTAGGTTACGAGTACTTTGATAGTTGGAGAGTATTTCGGGATGAAAATAGCCTAAATGTTTCAGCCGAAAGAAGATGCGCAGAAAACCTGCGCAGAAAACAAATATTGGTCTTTTTCACCCAGTGGCTCACTGCCTGACCCCAGAATAATGATGCAAATAAAATTTGGTGTCATACACCAACTTACGCTTGTTTCCCAATTTGGGTTCTATTCATATTTGGTTCTAATGTAATTTGAAATAACACTGTTAACCTACTGTTGACTTTATTTGCTGTCTCAAAGTCAACAGTAAAATCTTTGTTTACATTAGAGGTGTACTATTAACCCGGTTTACTTTCTACCTGGTCTACAATTTTGCACTGCATTACAAATAAGTTATTTTTTAAAGTATTGCCTATGGCAAAATGAGTATATAGAGACGAGTAATGACAGAGCTTGACATTATACAAACATTTAACAGTGTAGATGTACCAATACTTTTGTATGTTTTTTAGTATTTTCAAGGGGCAAAACAAATATAGTTAACATGCAGATTTATTAACATTTGTTCAAAATACTCTTAACTTGTGGTATTTCAATTATAGTCCCACATGCAAGGGACCTTAAATTCATGAATTTGTAAGACATTTATTTCAATCAGTTATTTATAATAATCATTATTTAAAGGTATTGAAGGAAAGAAACATGCGATAGCTAGGTTTGATTCAGTAGCTGACTGTTAAAGAGCTTGAAAAGAAAAGGGTACTCCCTTTTGGATTAATGTGTAAATGTACGTAATATAAAGCACGTACAGTTGTAAAGAATTCAATATTAAACAAAATTTTAAGGATACCAGGAATTATAAGGATAAACTCAATTATAAGGATTGAAGCCAAATTATAAGGATTGAAGACTGTTGATACGGATTACTTGAATGATATTTTCAATTTACTTTAAGTATGGATTTTAGTTATCATGTAAGTTTGTTTTAAACATTTTTTAATGTAATTTTCCCACATTATACTTATATTAGGAAGATACCCCATTAATGGTGTTAGAGAAGTACCTATTTCTTTTAGGTATATTTTGACCTATAAAATGACCTAATTTCTAAATGTGACCTATAAAGAATTCTTCCATATTACTATCCTACTGATACTAGTGGGGTCCCCTATTATAAGGTTATTAGAGTTTGTGTATTCTTGGACCTATATGATGAGCATGTGACCTGTTAAGAATTATGCGAATTTACCCCATTACTGATAATAGGAATGTACCCCGTCAAGGGTATCAAGAGTCCAGTAATACCAATATCTTTTGGGTATACCTATAGCATGACCTAATTTCTAAATGTGACGCCACATTTATACCATCTATGGACCCTTGAATTACAAAACTATGTTCTATTGTATATTGATATTATATTGACCTTTATGATGACCTTGACCTGCTATAGCTATAGTAAGATATGCTTGGTAAATTTCAAAATTTGGCCAGATCTTTTTTAACCTTTGGAATTGAACTGAAAATTACTGCATTAAAGTAGTATAGCCAACTATATAAGGATGTTATTGTCAGAACATTAACGTCGTAAATAACCAGTTGTCCTCTTCAGTATTGTGACAAGTTGTTTTAAGTACCGATTTTCAATTATCATAAAATTGATTTACATTGTTTCTGCATTCAAAATGTAGGATGAAACAATTACTACAATCGCCACATGTTGCCATTTGCAAACTAAGGGATGTTTCAAATAGTGATAGTAATGTGGATGTTAGTTATTCTAATTTTTCTAATTTCAGTTGTAATAACATTCTACATCCTTATTTTAGAAATATAGGAATTCATTTTTTTTAATGAAACCATGATATATTAATCCTTGGTTGTAATTTGTAACGTTTTCCTAAAATCTAAAACATTTTGGCAGTGTCCTTAAACTAGCCAACTGAACGATTATTTTTACTGTAAATAGACTTAATTTGGTGCAGTTTAAGTTGGCAATTTTTTACCTTAATTTGCCTGAGATTGGACACTGATGTGGCATATCTCCATTTTTTTACCATCATTCAGTATGGTTCTGGTATTGAATGTTATCAATCTGGTATAGCATGGTACAGTTCTGGTATTGCATGTTATCAATTTGGTATTACATGTTATCAATCTGGTATTGCCTGCTATGGATCTGGTATTGCAAGTTGTTGATCTGGTATTACATGTTACCATTCTGGTATTGCCTGCTATGGATCTTGTATTGCATGTTACTGATCTGGTATCGCCTGCTACAGATCTGGTACTGCATGTTACTGATCTGGTATTGTGTGTTAGCGTTTCCTGATTAACTTTTGTTGTCATGGACACCTGTTGGTTTTCATATGTAAACTTTATATGGTGCTCTATTTCAATTTAATACAGCTAAATTCTGGATTTTGCCTAATCGGCAACAAAGTCAAATAGCTGCATAAAAACTGTTCATAGCACGTGAAGCCATGTACATATATAACCTCTAGAATTAAAATTCAAGATTTAGAAACTGGAATCATACAGTCCGAACAGTGTAAATATTTCCAGAGTGTTATTTTTTTAAATATTGATTGCAAAATCTATAATTGTAAAAGCTGTCTATTTGGTTGTCCATGCATTGATCACCTTATAGGTTCAAGTATTTGAGTGGTGCAAGTGTGATATTGTTGAGGAACTTAAAAGTATATGTATTGATTTTGGATGATATTGTATCATATATTACTGACACAAATCTAGCATCCAGTTAGATATTTAAAGTTACTTAAGAGGAAGTGATGGGAAATTTATCAAAGGATATATAAATTGATATTTCATTTAATATAAAAATTTTTGGATTGAAAATGCCGATAAGTTCACTCATTAAGTTCTACGTGGATCCTCACGAACATACCGATGAGCACATTGTGAGTACATATGTATGGCTAAAGGCAGCTGACAATGGTTATCCTGTCAAATTCAAATTTTGTCAATATTTCTTAGTTCTTTAATTTAAAAAATTGTGTATATCGAATTAAATATAAGAATGCATTTAATTTCATGAGTAAACTCTAGAAGGATATTTTTCTATGGTTAGTCAAAGTAGGTGACAAAAATTGTGTGGGTACAGTTGATTTGGATTTTTACAGATTTCTAGTTTTTGCACCAATACATACATCCATATTTTTTATGTTGGAAGAATTTCGAAAATTGGTTGAAATGAAAGATAAATTATATCATAATTTGGACGATAGGAACCATGATTGACATGTATTGAAAAATATATTGAAATGCTTACTAAAAAGAAAAAGTTTGTAGATGTTAGGAATAGATAATGTTTCTGGTCAGTATTTTATATTTTGAGGTGCATCATCATCATATGTGAAGACAGACTGTCAGTTTCATATTTCTTTTCATGTTTAGCCATCATCCAGACCAAATCCCTTGTCACATATGCAACATATGAAACTTGACCAGACTGTGTAAACAAATACTGGATCTCCTTTCCAAATATTCAATTTTGTCTGTTTAAAAGAAAACTCCATGTCCACTCTTTGGAGAAAAATCCTCTAACAAAGATAATTTTGTTATAGTTTGACCGCCCTCCCCTTATCTAACAAAATCTTAAAATGTTGATGTTGATTTTTCTTTCATTTTAATATTCCATTTTTTAATTGGAACCCATCCTGGACATTCATTATGTCACTAAAGGAACATGAACCAACTAGGTTGTGCCAAATATTTAAAACTAAACATGTGATGGCAGCCCTGTTTTGTGTATATTTACATCTGGATCAGGATCATATTTCAATTTGTGTATGTTGGTATTAAGTTTGTTTATCAATGTGGCATTTGGGATTGCTTATAACTGCAAATCGTAATTTTCAATATTGATTATAAAGTTTATTAAATGGTGAGAGGGAACAATTTTTTTCAAGTTTTCAAAATCATAACAATATTAAATTTATGTTATGCAGCCATTCAAAAATTGGAAAAAGTGTGACATTTAAGTACCAGTACCAATTCAATTTTTTTCATTGCAGGAGAATTTTGTCAAGGGTCATAGACGCACTCCAAGTGATGTGGAGTTTGAGCGCAAGAGCAAGCAAGATGCCCAGAAATCACTGAACAAAGAACTCAACAAACTCCTGCTTACCGCAACGAGTAACAAAGATGTAAGTACTACAAAGCATGCACTCATTATTGGTGAATGTATGTAAATGTGTGTTAATTGAAATGTTTCTTTACTCTGCATTATTTGTGTTTTTCATTGAAGAAAAATTTTGCATTTTGGTCAACAGAAATGAAAAAATATGGTGATTTTTCTTCAACAACTATTCCTAATACAGAAATAAAAAATATGGTAATCAATGTGTGGCACCCACATTGGATTTTAAAGAAATCAAGAAAAATATTTTTAACCACTTTTGTGAATTGTAATTGTAATTTTGCACCCACTTAAGAAAAGAAATTGTGGGAAATATATTGCTATAGCTTTAGCCTTGACTCTTTGTATTCTAGGCTGGGAATATGCTTATTTAGTGTTCAAAATCATGCTTTCTTGGCCTTGTAGCTAGACTTAATAAGATTGGGTTCTATAATTTGAAGTATTATTTTGATTTATCTTGAAAATGATTCATGGAATTTTGTTGGAATCTTTTGGTATTCATGATAGTGCCTTGAAACTTAAGAATGTAAATTGTACCTTGGACTTTTGATGAGCATTTCAAAAACATATAGATTCTATGATGTTTGCTTTTGTAAATACCTCTAGCTGACTTTTTAGTAGAGTTTTCCACAAAGCTCTTTGGCTTTATTGGACACTTTTGTTTATACAGACTTTGGAGACAGACCATATCTCAAAATTATAACGATTCACCAATCAGTTGGCACCCTGCACTCCAATTCTGATTTGCAAAATGAGTTAAGTAAGCAGCCAACTTTAGATATGGCGCCGATTTTTTCAAACTTGAAAAATTGCACCCAGTTTTTTGGGGGAGAACACTGCCAATACTGAACTTGTTGTTTAATATAATTTTGAGAAGAAGATCAGACATCTTGTAAAACTAGTGCTTTTGACTAATCTACTTTTATATCATATTTCTTTACAGGGTCGCGCATTGGAGGTAATGGGGTAGTAATATTTTTATTTACGCCAAATTGGACTCCAGAGACTTCTACGAGTTTTAACATCTTGAAGGCAAATTTCAAATTAAAATCTTCTTATTTTGTCTTATAATGTTTTTTGTGCTGAAAAGCCAAAACATTTGGTCTATTCTTAACTCTCTGGAGTTCCAACTTGGCATTTTAAAGTTGTTTCTAGTTTTCACTATGCATGTTTTTTTTTTTTATTTAGCACTCATTTGTTATTTACTTATAGTGTTTTTAATTTCATTTTTATGTTGTACACTGTTCAGTTCATGTTTTACACTGTTACTTAATCAGTTTTCATGGTGTTCTCTGCTTTTTCAGTTTTATTTTATTCAGTTTCCATGTTGTCCACCGTTTGTTTTTATTTATTTTTAGTTTTATGTAGTACATAATTTCTGATTTCATGTCATACATTGTTTCTTATTAGTTTTCATGTCATACATTGTTTTTTATTAGTTTTCATGTCATACATTGTTTCTTATTAGTTTTCATGTCATACATTGTTTCTTATTAGTTTTCATGTCATACATTGTTTCTTATTAGTTTTCATGTCATACATTGTTTTTTATTAGTTTTCATGTCATACATTGTTTCTTATTAGTTTTCATGTCGTACATTGTTTCTTATTAGTTTTCATGTCGTATATTGTTTCTTATTAGTTTTCATGTCGTACATTGTTTCTTATTAGTTTTCATGTCATACATTGTTTCTTATTAGTTTTCATGTCGTACATTGTTTCTTATTAGTTTTCATGTCGTACATTGTTTCTTATTAGTTTTCATGTCATACATTGTTTCTTATTAGTTTTCATGTCGTACATTGTTTCTTATTAGTTTTCATGTCGTACATTGTTTCTTATTAGTTTTCATGTCGTACATTGTTTCTTATTAGTTTTCATGTCGTACATTGTTTCTTATTAGTTTTCATGTCATACATTGTTTCTTATTAGTTTTCATGTCGTACATTGTTTCTTATTAGTTTTCATGTCGTACATTGTTTCTTATTAGTTTTCATGTCGTACATTGTTTCTTATTAGTTTTCATGTCGTACATTGTTTCTTATTAGTTTTCATGTCATACATTGTTTCTTATTAGTTTTCATGTCGTACATTGTTTCTTATTAGTTTTCATGTCGTACATTGTTTCTTATTAGTTTTCATGTCATACATTGTTTCTTATTAGTTTTCATGTCGTACATTGTTTCTTATTAGTTTTCATGTCGTACATTGTTTCTTATTAGTTTTCATGTCGTACATTGTTTCTTATTAGTTTTCATGTCGTACATTGTTTCTTATTAGTTTTCATGTCATACATTGTTTCTTATTAGTTTTCATGTCGTACATTGTTTCTTATTAGTTTTCATGTCGTACATTGTTTTTTATTCAGTGTTATATTACTCAGTTGTTATGTCATACACTTATTCTTATTCAGTTTTCATATTGTACTCTATTTATTTTGTAGTTATCGTCTTCTTGAAATCAATTTCAATATCACAATTTCATTGGTCAAGAAGAACTAAGTGTTAAAAAGCATATTAAGGTAGTTCCGTATGTTCAAAAATTTTAATGGCTTTCTGATTGGAGATCCATTTTATTTTCAGGAACTCTACATGCTACATTTTTCAGATTTGCACAGAGTGTATATTCCTACCTAGATTACTAGCTGACAGTAAATGAATATTCAAGATGAAAGGGAGAAAATTCAGTGACCTACATTTTTTGAACTTATAAAAATTAGGTCACTGAATTTTTTAAATTCTCATACATTATAGACAATTTTTAACTTCAACTTATAATCTCAGAATATATGGGTACTCTGTATAAAACTGAAAGGTGAAGACCAAGTACGGAATGATTAAAATGTTCCAGAAAATAACATAGAACTCTTATCAGGAAGTTATTAAAATTTCTGAACATACAGAACTACCTTAAGTGATGATATATTCTGGCTTTATTAATTATGGTTATACTCACAGCACAGAATAGACGACACCTCACAGTTTGGAAATTTCTCATGTTTTTCTTAGACTATATATATAGATGTTGTGTGTTATTACCGGTAGTGTTCACGAGATAGAAGGCCCCATGATACAGTGTGGTACACTTCTTTAATATTACCAAAACATGGAATCACTGGGGCCTAGCACATGGTATGATGGTAAAGCAAGGGGCCATAATCTCTGGACACTACCTGTGGATATGATATATTAGTTAAAAAAAAAAACACAAACAAAACTAACTGATTATGAGTATTAGATACAACAATTTTTTTAGAAATAGAATGTTTGAAAACTCAGATTTCATAAAATGCCATTAGCCTACTTTATTATCACTGTTTGAGGCACATTTGCATCATACACATTTCATCTTACATTAGCAATGTGTTATGTCGTGGTCACATTTGCTCCAATTTTCAGCGCCTGGCCGATGAGTATTTTGTTCAAAATTGCATTCAATTTTGAGCAAAATAATGTGATCACGGCATTATTTTGAGTGTTAGAGCAATAGAGATGTTGTGATTTATAGATTTGTTAACTCTAAACAGTAATCTCTAGAAATGCCATAGGGATGACCCCCTATATTTATTTCTGATTGCTATTTAGCTAATATGCCATTAAAACAGTTGAGCATTGACTCAATTGATCATTTCGTCAATTGATTATTGGCCCAATTGACCACTGACATAATTGGCATGTATTTGCTGAGTAAAACAATGGACTATGTTCCGTGCTTTGAGCTTGTATTTCCGAATGCAACTTTCGGCTGTCTGCTACCAGATTAACCTACTGTTTTATGACCAACTCATTTTAATATGAATGGAATAGTGCCAGGTACCATTCATATTTAAATGAGTTGCCGATAAAATAGTAGGTTAATCTGACACTGCAGTTAGTCGCATTTGTGAATACAAGCTAAGATTTTTTAGGACACATTTTGCTAAGCATGTATTTTTTAAAGTACTGACATGTGCTGTTATAAACTCATTTACTGACATAAACTAATTATAGCAAACCCTTTTTAAATTGAACACTGTAGGAATTAAAAATAATGTTCATACTGATATGTGTTTTGATGCCATATAAGGGAATGAGTCAATCAGGTGTTCAATTTAGAACGGTATTCACTTCAGAAAGGTATTCACTTTAAAAAGTTATACATGTACACTCTAAAAATGGTATCCACTTTAAAAAGGTATTCACTTCAGAAAGATAATCCCTTAAGAAAGGTATTCACTTTAGAAAGATTTTTCAGAAGAATATTCAGATTAGAAAGGTCGACAGTAAGCAAGCAATATATTGATATAGTGATTTTAAAATGAGTAAAACTCAGAAAAAGAAACTTAAATGATAGAATATGCTTCAATTGAATAGTTCAAACATAGAATTTGAAATCTGTACAACAGTAAATCTAATATTAGTGCTTAGTTTTTTAGTCTAAACTGTAATATTGATGAATATATTTATTGTAGAATATCAGAAAGGACTTTGACGGCTTCGAGAAATTGTTCGGACGATTCTTGGAAGAGACCGGTCCATTTGTTGACTGGGAGAAGATTGATCCTTTAAAGGAAGATGCGGTAAGATCATTAAATAGCATTTATTACATACAGCCACATCCCCTCCAAATATTTGGAAACCAACCCAGTTGGACTAAGCCTGTTATTGAAGGCTAGTTATATTTGAAATTTTACTTTTTTCTCTCAGATTTTTAAATCCCAATTTTTCAGTTTATGATGAAATTTTTCACACATGGATTTCTTACTTTTTACAGGTATACATGGGTTTCGTTATATTTTTTAATAACAGGCAATTAAAAAATGAAAACAACAATAACATTTAATATAAAAATTATTATTGTAAAATGAAAATACAGTAAAACCTGTCAAATCCAAGAACCACTTGAACCAGCTAAAAGTGCTCAGATTAGATGTTCACATTTTAAGATTTTTTAAATGTTGGTCAATGGGAGATAACAAATTCGGGACTGAGAAAAGTGTTCACATTGAGAGGTGTTCAAAATAAAACGATGTTTGGATATTTGGGTTTCACTGTATAGAATTCCTAAGAGTAATAGGCACTTTTGGTAAATAACAATTGGGGAAAATAAACTGCACAAACTGCTTGTCATGAAACCATTTAATTCAAACATACAAATATAGACTTATTATGTCACCACCAAAAAGTGTTATTGTTATGTTCTCCGTTTTTTGTGACGGTGGTTGGTGATCCGCGGTCGGTGGTTGGCGTCTGCAACAATTCTTAAAACTTCCAATAACTTAACAAATACCGTTTAGACTGACTTCAGTTTTTTTCAAAATCCTCTACAAGTTTTCAGAAGTTAAAATCTGACTTTGTATTGAAGATTTGACCTTTGGTGAACTTCTCAAGGTCAAAAAAGGTCAAAAATGTATTTTTTCAACTTGCTCCAAATTGACCAATTTTTTTTCAAAACCATGTACAAGTTCTCAGAAGTTCTAATCTGACTTTTGAGAGTTCACCTTCAATGACCTTCTCAGGGTCAAAAAAGGTCTATTTTCAACTTGCTTCAAACCAACCAATTTTTTTCAAAAACATGTACAAGTTCTCAAAAGTTCAATTCTGATTATAGATTTGACCTTCAATGACCTTCTCACGGTCAAAAAAGGTCTATTTCAACTTGCTTCAAATTGACATGGGGCCGAGTTTTTTGGGGAGAACACTGCCAATTCTGAACTTGTTATTTCTTATAATTTTGAGAAATGGTCAGACCCCTCCTAAAACTAGTGCTTCTTTATATCATATTTCCTTACAGGGCCGCGCATTGGAGGTAATGGGGTAGTAATATTTTAATTTACGTCAAATTGGACTCCAGAGACTTCTACGAGTTTTAACATCTCAAAGGCAAATTTCAAATTGAAATTTTCTTATTTTGTCTTCTAATGTTTTTTTTGCTGAAAAGCTAAACCATTTGGTCAACCCTTAACTCTGGAGTTCCAACTTGGCATTTTAAAGTTGTTTCTAGTTTTCACTATGCATGTTTTGTTTTATTTAGCACTCATTTTATTTACTTATAGTAGTGTTTTTCATTTCATTTTTTTTATGTTGTACACTTAAATAGCTTCTCAGGGTCAATTCTTGAGAAGGTTGTTCATGCTCATATTACGAAACACATCACAAGATTGAGTCTTATGTATGAGAAACAATCGGGTTTTTTAGGAGGACATAACACTGAGCTGCAACTCATTGCTATTGTCGACTATATTTATAATCAATTCGAAGAAGGTAAAATGGTTAACTCTTGCTTTTTGGACATTTCGGCTGCTTTTGATACAGTCCCTCATACTCTGCTCCTTCACAAACTAAATTCATTCGGAATATCTGGATTAACGTACTCGCTTCTTAAATCATACCTCACAGATAGAATAGTGTGTGTATCTGTTGATGGAGTTAAGTCAAAATTCTCAGATTATGGCTTTATAAATACAGGAGTCCCTCAAGGCTCGGTCCTTGGACCACTTCTATTTTTACTCTACATAAATGATTTACCTGACCATTTGAAATCTGAATGTTTTATATATGCAGACGATACGTCTGCCTATGCATCATTTGACTCTATCCAAAATCAAACTCAAGATTTACAGTCTGACCTTCGTCAAATAGAACAATGGTCCACAAAGTGGCATCTTAAATTCAAAGCCTCCAAAAGCGCTCATATGATTTTTTCACCAAATCAGGTTCAGGACATTGACATAAGACCAATTTTCTTTGAAGGTGAAAAGGTACCATACAAAACCTCTCACAAACACCTAGGGTTCACTCTTGATAGTAGATTAAAGTTTGATATTCACATAAACAAACTGGCAAGTAAGATTCAAAAGCAATTAAGTCCATTAAAAGCTCTATCAAACAAGCTTAGCTCCAAGCATCTTGAGTGCATCTATAATTCTTTTATACAACCAAATTTTGACTATTGTAGCTTGATTTATGGGTCCAGCTCAATTCAAAATTTAAAAAAACTTGATAGGTTACACTATAGAGCTGCTTTACACTGTTCAGGAGCTATTCATGGTTCAAATACATCAAAAGCCCTTGACTGTCTAAAATGGAAATCCCTTGATGATAAAAGAAAATATAGGGAGCTAATTACCATGTTTAAAGTTTCCAAAGGTTCTACTCCATTGTACATTAACAATATATTCAATAATTACAACGTAACGCCAGTTAGATTACTAAGAACAAATTTACAATACAAAATACCAACTAAATCTAGCTCTAGAATTTGTATGGCACCTGTGCTAAGACTGATTGGAAAATGGAATAAACTGAAAGATGAAAAATCCATCAGGACCATCTCCACTTTTAAGAATAAAATAAGGGGAAATTTAAGCACTGGCTCTAATTTCAAATAAATAATGATAATAATTCCTAAATAAAATCAGATGTGACCTTTTCTTCAAATCACAAAAATTCTCTCACAATTTTACTGACACTGATGATAATCTTTGTTCTTGTGGTAAGCCTGAGACACCTAAACATGTATTTTCTCCTGTGAGCGCCATAATCTCCAACGACAACAGCTAATGACCACCCTAGAGCAGAAGAACCTAATAGACCACCTACCCAGAACCAACCAAGAGAAACTTGAATTTTTTCTTTTTGGTAACAATTTAAGTATTGATGAAGACACAACTCTCAAAGAAAGTGTTATAAAATTTATCCTTTCCCTAAATATTTTTAATGTACATTAGTAACTGATGCTGTAACCATTGAAGGCATGGAGGATACATAATCCTTCTACTAGTCATCATGCAAAGTGTGTAGTCGCAAATTCATATTGAATCATTTTATGTAACTATATTTTGTAATTAATTAAGTAAAAGCTAGCCTATAATGCTAAGAAGCGATTGGCAGCTCATTTAGAATTGTAATTTTTATAGACTATGAATAAATATAACATGAAATTGAATTGAGGGTCAAAAAAGGTCTATTTTCAACTTGCTTCAAATCAACCAATTTTTTTCAAAAACATGTACAAGTTCTCAAAAGTTCAATTCTGATTATAGATTTGACCTTCAATGACCTTCTCACGGTCAAAAAAGGTCTATTTCAACTTGCTTCAAATTGACCAATTTTATTTCCAAAATCCTCTACAAGTTCTCAGAAATTCAGATCTGTCTTAAGATTGAATTAATAATATTGTGAGCAACTAGGTGGTGACGTTTTGTCGTGTTGATGCCTTGTATTTCTATTGATTTCCTCAGTTTTAATACTCTCAATTAATTCCATTGCATTGAATGAAAAAACATTTATATCATGTTTGCCTGTATAAACATATAAGTATTGAATATATTTTGACACAGCTGGATGTAACATGGGAACAAATTATGAGTTATAAAAAAGTTTTAATGTTCTAAAGTTCACAAATAGAACAATTGAGTTTGTGATGTATAATTTAATATAATATATGACTACTAAGTAGATTATTGACCTCCAAAATGAATTAAAATCAAACTGTTTTTTTGTTTGATCATCATAATATTGGGCAATGAGTATTTTTATGAAATTAAGAAATATAGACCAAAGAGCTTGATCGAAGAGCAGGTGTTATATCCATGAATACATACCACAGGGCTAGGCACAAATGTTTTGTGTACCCCAAATGACCGAACGGAGGTGTTCTTTTGTGCCTAGCCCTAAGGTATGTATTTATCGATATAACACCTGCTCTTGAGGTCTGTATTATGATTCAAACATGAGAACTCACCAAAATATTTTGAGTATTCTTTATGGCCTACCATTACTACGGCTCTCCCATTATGATGTCACACATTACTGGTATTACCAGGTGCAATGTCAACCAATACATACTGGGTGAAATATTGACTTAATTCACAGTTTATAGTAGGCATGAATACAGTCATGTTTGAATTGATCATAGACCACCAAATACTAGTAGCTGTTTTTTGGTTTGATCATCATATTAGAATTATTACATTTAATTATTAGTCCATGGTATGAAATATCTAGGACGTCTAGTAAAGGAGATGGTAGCACACTATAGCGCAGCGATATTTGACCTTACATTAACATACCTACATATGTCCCCTAATAATTTTTATTATAACCATTCAATATACTTCCGGCTTTTAGGGTGAATTATGCCTGCCATTAACAGAGGTCAAAAAATTACCAAAAAATAAAATCCCAATTTTTCACAGTTTGGAGAACACAATGCAATAGCAAATAATACAAAAATATTTTAAATATATGATCTAGGTTTCTAAGCTATATGTTTGAGGTTATTTTTCTTATCAATACCAAAACATTATGTAATCAGTGCATCGACGCTTTGTATTGTTTCTCAGGTATTAATAAGATTAATGCTAGAAATTAATCACTTTTATATTAGAATAACAAATGCTTAAATTATGTTAGATTTTCACAAAATGGGTCTCAATACGTTTTGAGATATTGACTTTTATTCAGCGGTAAACATTAAAAATAAAGGAGAGCCTATTGCTCTTCCTTGACTAATTGGGACTACAGCTGGAAATGATATTTCTCGTAGTTAGATATAGCTCAGTTGCTTATAAAAGAACACCAAGACTTGGTCGAAATCCTGAATAATTGAGAAAACTGGTTATCATTATCTTCCTAAAATCTGCTTGTATCCAGCAGTAAAGTCAAAGAAGAAGCAACCATCAAAAAACTACGACAGACCGAAGGCATATATTCAATGATACGGACATAACTGTTGTATTACATACTTTTATATCATGGCTACGTTATATCAATGACGCCACGTGTCTGTGTGCGAGTGAAATTAGGAAGAAATGAAACATGACGTCCCGATGACGTCATAAGATTGTCATGGTAAAAAGTTTGACAGCTATACAGGAATATATAGCCGACCTTCAGCTCCATTGACTTCAATACAAATGCTTCGCTGGGTATGTAATACATGTTGATATATCCTTATTTCCGTGAAGGAGGTACAGGTACCCCGGGACCGACATTTACGTCACATATTCAGTTTTTAGCCAGTTTGGTATATTTCAGTTAGATTTGAACTTTTAATATGCCATAAATTTTTGCTGACTGGTAACACATAAACAGAAAGTATTGTGATGTCAGATTGTTGTTTGGAAGGGGTTTGCAGGTCAATTTGAGAAAGCATTGTGGAAGAAAGGGGTGGTGAGAGAAGGGAATACCCTACTCCATATGGACAATGCACCTGCCCACAGATCTCAAAATGTCCAGAAAACAATATCCCTGGACCTCAAAATTAAGCCCTTGGCCAATGCACCATATTGTCCAGATCTGCTCACATGTGACTTGTTCATTTCTATACGACTTCTTTCTATAGAGAAAGGACGCAGATTTATTGACATTGATGAAATAAAACAACCCGTGCAACTGCATCTTGCTACCATGTCAGAGAATGGATTCAGCCTTGTCTCACAATCTTGAGTTAAGAGGATGAGGAATTGTGTACTTGTAGCACTTGATGGAACCTATTTAGAGGGCCCTGTGGAATGAATGTGGCATGAATACCACATAGTGATGACAAAATATTCAAAATCAACTATGGCATAACAAAATGGGGTAATTCATGACCATAATGGTTTGTTTTGTTCAGCCTGCTTTCAACTGCATTGCATGTTAAACAAGCTAAAATAGCTTCAGATTATGTGACGTAAATGTCGGTCCCGGGGTACCTGTACATCCTTCACGGAAATAAGGATATATCGACATGTATCGTATATTTTGTCTTCAAATCTTCAGAGTTAATAGATAATTGAATGATGTATCACTGGTAAGAAAATCGAAGGGATTGGTCTATACAAAGTATCTGTGTAAAAAAGCGTCCATTACTTATTGATCACCCCTCGTATATTCCCAATCATAAATTACCTAAATATTCCACACAATTTTGTTGAATCTGCTTGGCTCATATTTGAAAGATCAGACAAAATCTGAAAAACACACTTGCGTAATTACACTAATTAAACACCTACATCCACAGTAAAATTGAAGTATATTTTTACATTACGATAAACTATTTTTTTGTTCGTATGCTTAGAATAATGGTCAGAGTCTTATAAAATGTATGAAAGTTCGAATCAAAATATTTACGTTTTTGGACCGCTTGTGATGAAAGACATTTTTCGACCCGAAAGCAGGAAGTTTTTTCAGCAAATGGTATTTTAAAAGAATCAAGACATACGCACCTTCATTATGTTGCTGCGCTATAGTGTGCTACGGATCCTTCATATTCGGAAGTCATACCATGGACTATATGTTAATTTATCATTTATTCAGACATACATTCTAAAATTAATATATGCACAATATCCATGTTTGTAATTATTTGGGTGTTTAGGCATCCCCCCTCCCACCTTGACAAAAAATTCTTCCAAATTCATGCAGTTTTTCATTATTCTGAACACTTTCATTCGAGTGATATTGGGCCAAAGTTGGCATATCTGATTCAATCACCCCCTGGTTTTTTAAAAAGTGACCTCCCTCTGGATAAAATCTGGCTATGGGCCTGAAATGTTTTAAAATACCTTATATATATGTTGCAGATCCAAATGTACAATGACCTTCCCCCAAGCAAAGACGAAGCTGTTACCAAGGAGATGTTAAACAAACTAATCGTTGTCAAGCTCAATGGAGGTCTTGGAACAAGTATGGGATGCACGGGACCCAAAAGTGTGATCCAAGTACGAAATGACCAAACCTTTTTGGATCTGACAGTACAACAGATAGAGGTACAATACTTTTTCTATCATTATATTATCACCACAAGTGGGGTTGTATATTGCTGTAGTCTCAAACTTTTTTGTTGAGGGTGATAGGTGGTAGGTGTTTGATAGTTGATGATTGTTGTTAGTTGGCATCTCTAACAAATGGCAGGTGATATTTAATTGTAACCTTTGAAATGAATAGTATAATCATTTACATATATGACTTAAATAACACTGTCAATTTTAATTTTTTTGTTGATAAAAGCCATTTTTACTTGAATAAATAAAAATAATCAATGAAAATTCCAGAGCACTATTTTTTACAAAATGTGTTGGTGAAAAATAAATATTGAATTTTTCATTAAAATTAGCACTTACTATGTAACTCTAGATCATAAAAAATCAATGTTTCAAATTAGTACAGCACCAACTAGATGTTTTTCTTTAGAATCAATCAGGCAAATGTACATTTCATTTATATTTCTTCTGAATATTTAAAGTCATAATCATGAGGAAAGATGGGTTGAGATGACCAAGAGGGTTGAGTTGACTAAAGGTTGAGATGACTCAGTTGAGTTGACTTGGGGTTGAGATGACCAAGGGTTAAGGTGACCTAAAGATTGAGATGACTCAATTGAGTTGACTTTGGGTTGAGATGACTCAATTGAGTTGACTTTGGGGTGATATGACCAAGAGGGTTGAGTTGACTAAAGGTTGAGATGACTCAATTGAGTTGACTTTGGGTTGAGATGACCAAGAGGGTTGAGTTGACTAAAGATTAACTCTGAATGAACAAATATAATCTAATAATAATATTATTATTTTATTTTGGTTATTTTAGTACTTGAACAGGAAATATGGTGTGGATGTCCCCCTTGTTTTGATGAACTCTTTCAACACACAAGCAGATACTGAAAAATTGCTGAGAAAATATGCTAATTATAAAATTACGATAAGGACATTTGAACAAAGCAAGTAAGTGCTGTGTTACGCATTCGTTTGACTTCGCTTCTTAAAGATAGCTTCATCTTAACTAGACTCTGTGCGCAGGGTAATAATGTGTGTCAGATATTCCCTTAAAGGGACACTTGTAATATTGATTGATATGTAATCTCATTATCCCAACGAATGAAGTTCGTTAGGGATATAGTGAAGCCCTCCGTCCGTCTGTCCGTCAGTCCGTCAGTCAGTCAGTCAGTCCGTCTGTCTGTCCAGAAGATAACTCAAATACTAGTTGACAGATTTTCTTCATATTTAGTGGAAAGATGTATATTGGTGAATAGTTTTACGTTTTTTTTCAAGATGGCCACCGCTTTAAAAATGACGGGACTTTTTCGCAAAAATCAAAAAAAATTTTCATTCTAAACCAAAGTAATTAATATTATTGTTTGAAATTTTAGTAGTGTATTCACAACATTTATCTATTTCACATATATTCCGTGTTTTTCATCCTGACCCCCAGGGGCCATGTATAGGGGGACAGGAAAACAGAAATTTTCGCTAATTTTTAGATCTTTCTGAAGTATAGCTTTATTATACTCAAATGAAAGGCAATTAAGAGTAGATTGCAAATATTGTATCTTTTTTCTGATTCGAGTCTCGTAAAATTCAAAATGGCCGTCTAATGTACGATTTCGCAATAATTTTTCGATCCCTTCAAAGTATGGCTATATTATACTCAAATTGAAGGAATTTTGGAGTAGATCACAATTATGGTATTATTTTTCAGATTTGTACCTCAGGAATTCGCAATTCTAAAATCTAATTTTTTCATTTTCAACCAAAGTAATGAGTATAATTGATTGGAATTCGGTAATTGATATTTTGTTCGTTGGGATTTGCTACTCCGCGGAGTTGCCGTTATCTAGTAGAAATTTAATTTAGAAATTGATTTAATTTTGATTGTTTACACTGTTCCTTGAAACTGTAAATGACATGTTTAAGTTGGTCAAAATTGTAAAAAATCTGAGTTCCACTTTAATGGATATGTCATAAGATTACTAAAGGATTAAATTACTGTAGCCTTGCTTGATCCCCATAACCTCCTCCCACCCTACACACCACATCCCCATGACCTCCTACACACCACATCCCCATGACCTCCTCCCACCCGACACACCACATCCCCATGACCTCCTCCCACCAGACACACCACATCCCCATGACCTCCTCCCACCAGACACACTACATCCCCATGACCTCCTCCCAATCGACACACCACATCCCCATGACCTCCTCCCACCAGACACACCACATCCCCATGACCTCCTCCCAACCGACACACCACATCCCCATGACCTCCTCCCAACCGACACACCACATATCTCCACAAGGAGGTAAAGTGGATGGTAAGGAGGACTCATGACCTCCTCCCACCCGACACACCACATCCCCATGACCTCCCACCAGACACACTACATCCCCATGACCTCCTCCCAACCGACACACCACATCCCCATGACCTCCTCCCAATCGACACACCACATCCCCATGACCTCCTCCCACCCGACACACCACATCCTCATGACCTCCTCCCACCCGACACACCACATCCCCATGACCTCATCCCACACGACACACCACATCCCCATGACCTCCTCCCACCCGACACACCACATCCCCATGACCTCCTTCCTCCCGACACACCACATCCTCATGACCTCCTCCCACCCGACACACCACATCCCCATGACCTCCTCCCACCCGACACACCACATCCCCATGACCTCCTCCCACCCGACACACCACATCCCCATGACCTCCTCCCACCAGACACACCACACCCCCATGACCTCTTCTCACCCGACACACCACATCCCCATGACCTCCCACCAGACACACTACATCCCCATGACCTCCTCCCACCAGACACACTACATCCCCATGACCTCCTCCCACCAGACACACTACATCCCCATGACCTCCTCCCACCAGACACACTACATCCCCATGACCTCCTCCCACCCGACACACCACATCCCCATGACCTCCTCCCAACCGACACACCACATCCCCATGACCTCCTCCCACCAGACACACCACATCCCCATGACCTCCTCCCACCAGACACACCACATCCCCATGACCTCCTCCCACCCGACACACCACATCCCCATGACCTCCTCCCACCCGACACAATACATCCCCATGACCTCCTCCCACCAGACACACTACATCCCCATGACCTCCTCCCACCCGACACACCACATCCCCATGACCTCCTCCCAACCGACACACCACATCCCCATGACCTCCTCCCACCAGACACACCACATCCCCATGACCTCCTCCCACCAGACACACCACATCCCCATGACCTCCTCCCAACCGACACACCACATCCCCATGACCTCCTCCCAACCGACACACCACATATCTCCACAAGGAGGTAAAGTGGATGGTAAGGAGGACTCATGGCAGTGTAAGACTAAAATATTTGGATCAAAACTAGATGCAAGGATAAATTTATCAACCAATTAGTCTGACTTAAATCCCACACTACATGTGATGTGACAGTCAATTGTCTTTTGTGTCACACCGGTTTTGGATAGCTTGCCAAGTGTCAATTCTTTAAAAACAATAAAAAAGAATGCACTCTTCTTTTTTACAACTGTCTATTCCTTCCTGTATTCTTCATTGTTTGGTTATATATTACAGATACCCAAGAATTGACAGAGAGAGCAGATTGCCAGTGGCCAATAGTCTTTCTGGAAGCAACAATGAAGCGTAAGTAACCCATATTTCCCCATATTTTTGCATGGGGTGCCCATATTTTTGTGTGAGGTTACCCATATTCTTACAATGGTTTCCTTGCCAATATTTACGCTTAAATAGCCCATATACAACTTATTTGCATCAGTTTCCTTATTGATTAACAGTTTGATAAATATCATACATATTTCACTTACACATTGAATTTTTTTAATGTGCTATCAGAATATTGATAAACAATTTTTCGATATTTTATGAGGTTATGTTTGACAAATATTACACTAACAGTATGGTCTCAGGAATATAGCCTTTTATGAGAGTGCAGCATATTGTTATAGTCTCCTACTTTTGTGGAAGGTGGTTGGTGTTCTGCATCTGTGACAAATGGCAGGTGGTGACATTTTACATACAGTATTAATGCCTTGTTTTCATTGCAGTAGGAAAGTAGAAAGTAGGCCCTCTGAGAAATATTAACTGCCTATTGACAAATTCGTATTTTTCAGGTGGTACCCACCAGGTCACGGAGATATATATGAAGCTTTTTACAACTCTGGTCTCCTAAAGGAGTACATTGACAAGGGAAAGACATTTGCCTTTATATCTAATATTGATAACTTGGGAGCTACTGTTGACATCAGTATCCTTTAAACAATACATATACTATTTACAGGGCTCTCACCAGGAAATATTTAGGGTGTAGTGCAAACATCAACAGCATAACCGTTCAGTCGTGATAAATCATATTTATGTTATGTTTTATCCTCCTTTTTACATGCTATTATTGTATATTCAGACAAGTTTAGACTGTGGAAACAGTCATGATTTGCCAATAGGGTGTGGAGGGAGCTAAATAGAGTGTGGTGCTGCGCCACAGTCTAAAAGCCTGGCGAGAGCCCCACCATATATTGCACTTTGAAAATTCTATATTGTAGTTCACTTGCGCTGATGGCAGCGCCTCTGTCCTTACCAGAACATTCTTGTCATCAAAATTTTAAGAAAAGTACTCAGCCGTTCAACTTGAAATTTTTACAGATACAAGGACAGACTAGTGCCAAGATCTGATTAGGTTTTTGGCATTCTGAGTAAATTACCTAGTGGACACTTTGATTTTTTTTGATAAAAAGGTGTCATATTTATCACTTAGTTTCCTTTTAAAGGGATATAAAGTGAGAGGATTAAATCTCAAGTTAGGCCTAAATCTCAAAAATTCTCATATTGCTCCCAAATTAGCTAGGTTTGCACCAAAGTCTATTGATTGTGTAATTAGTTACAGATCACGATGAATTGAAAATGTTTTTTGGTTATTTAGGATCATATACATACGGTTATAATATACAAGTTGATAAAACTGTGTTTTGAAGTGTTCTTTCTAGTTTTTATGTCTCCAATGTTTTTGTGGATGGTGTTTCGTGGTTTGTGCTCGGTGGTCGGCATTTGGTGTCTGATGGGGAGGTGGTGACATTTTGCATGTTAATGCCTTGTTTTACCTTAACATTGCACCAGATATTCTAAATGGATTGATGAACCCTAGCAATGGCCAGAAGGCACCAGAGTTTGTGATGGAGGTCACAGACAAGACAAGGGCTGATGTCAAGGTAATTTATCGACCTTTAAACTCTTGAAGATCTTGATCCACAGTGTTTGAAACCATATCATTTTATGTCACCACCAAAGTATTATTACGACCTCCAACTTTTTTGTGACAGTGGTTGTCATTTGGAGTTAAGCGTCTGGCATCTGTAACATATGGCAGGTGGTGACATTGTCCATGTTATAATAATACCTTGTCATATTTTACCATTTCTTGACATTTAATATCAATTAATGTATATGATTCTGATACTCTGTTTTTGCATTTGTTGCTGTGTAGGGAGGAACCCTAGTGGAGTATAATGGTAAACTAAGGCTGCTTGAGATTGCACAAGTTCCTAAAGATCGGGTAAGTCCATAAAAATCACACAACTCAAATACAGGGGGCTGTTTCTAGAAATTACAATAGGTTATGGTATCAGAATTCAAGATTTCTCTCTAACCACATCATCAAAGGTTTAGTTTAACATGTCCTTAAAAGGTAGTAATAAAAACAACATGAAAATTGGCAGAGGGCTTTGTAACTGGCTCTTTTACTGCCATTGGTCGAAGTAGATTCTGGTCTCCGTGGGTGCTGATCCTGGGAAGACTGATCCTTCTAGTATATGCTGGTCCTTTTGATGTTATGATATATAAGGGTTATGTACTGGGAGGTTTTAGATATGGGGTTTATCCAGAGGGAGATATGCATATCTACCTGAGGGACCGTAGGGACCGAAGGTAGATGTGCATATCTCACGAGGGATGAACCCAATATCCAAACCGACCGTACATAACTGCTTTATCCTATACCAAGTAGAGATTTCTAATTTTCTTTCAATTTTTCTCACATTTTTTCAATTTTTTTTCTTTTTTCAATTTTTTATTTTATTCACATTTTTTCAAATTTTTTTTCGAAGCGGGAAGATATGCCCTTGAGCGGGAGATATGGCGGGAGATATGGAGGTTCAGGATATGGAAACCTCAAAATCAGGATACGGGATATATCTTACCAACTAATCTCCCTAAAACTATACTTGGCATAGGATAAAACCTGTTATAAATTAATTTCATCATTTGTTCCGTTTCAGGTGGATGAGTTTAAAAGTGTCAGTAAGTTCAAGTAAGTATATCCAATTCTCAAATCACATAATGTAATGACAGAATGATAAGATCTAGAAAGAATGTGCTAAATTTCTTAAATCAAAAAAGTGGATAAAGTTATTAAAAATACATTTTTGATATTAATTTGAATGTAGATTTCAAAATATTTATTAGTTTTACTGAACTTTGAATGTTTAAGTCTAGCATCTGGTCTATTGTATTTCTTAATTCAATGAATTTGACATACATTGTACAGGGTGATCCAGAAGTAACGTCAAAGACATTGTAATTTCAAAAGTATTCATCAGATCTTCATGAAATTTGGTATACATGTACCCACAACATTTCTGAGTTACCATCTCAAAGATTGGAATTCAATCATTTCATTGGTTGAAATTATGGTTGCTATAGTAACCCGATATCGCGTAACCCGGGGCAAATTGAAGAGAAACCATAACGTTTTTGTGAATTTCTCTAATTTAAAAAGTCAGTAACATTTGAAAATGTTCATTGTTTGTTTTCTATGATTTTTATATTTGTTGCCATGGTAACAAATATGTAATAGTTGTGATGTCACAATAGGCATTCATAAAAAGCTTTCAATTTCTTTGAATTGCTTCCATCATCCATGACAAATACTAACATGACCAAGGACACTAACCCACCCAATTCAAGATGGCGCCAAGTCAGAGTAAAATAGAGCAAAGAACAAACATTAAGTTCTGTGTAAAGTTGGGGAAAGGTGTAAAAGAGACTATAAGACAGATAAAGAAGGCATATGGTAAAGCTGCCATTGCTGAGAGAAACATTTACAGGTGGTTTAACAAGTATTCCAGTGGATATGATGAAGTGGTAGACAAGCAGCGAGGAGGCAGGCCAGTGTCGTCATTCGATGATCAAACCATCAAAGCAATTGAAGCTGATGTTATGGACAATAGGCAAATTTCTATCAGAGAATTGGCTGAAAAACACGATCTGAGCTATGGGACTGTGCAACGGATACTGACAAAGAACTGTCTGTTAAAGAAGGTGTCTGCTAAATGGGTGCCGCATGACTTGACACAGGAGCAGAAAGACCGGCGTGTTAAGGCTTCAAGGGACTTTCTTGCAAAATATCGGAGAGATGGAGATGACTTTCTTAACAAGATCATTACGAGTGACGAATCATTGCTATCATTCTACATCCCAGAGACCACGCAACAAAGTTCATCGTGGAAACATGACAACTCCCCAACACCAACCAAGCCTAAAATAGTACCAGGAATTCCACAAAAGAAACAAATGGTTGTGACATTCTTTGACATTAGAGGAATGGTGTTAACCCATTTTGTTCCCATTGGCCAGAGAATTAATGCCGTTTACATTGCAAAGGTAAGATATCATTTGTTCTAATAATACATCATACTGTGAATTTTATTTTTAAATTAAAGTATTTAAATGCTGTTCACTGTCAATATAATTATAACTCCATGGCCATGATTCAAATCCAAATCCAATCAATGAAACAACTGGTTTAACAACCATTAGGGGAGGCATCAAAAGATCAATGTCTGATAGAAAACTAAATAAATCTAGTTTGGGGGGGAGGGGGTCAAAGCTATTTCAGTTTGCTATCCGACAAATTTCAACATTTAAATTTTTCGCAATTTCGACTCGAAATGCCTTGGAATGGTTTAAAAATAAAGACTTTACCAGATGCCTTCTTCACCAAGATGCATACAACATGGAATATTATGCCTATTGTTGTTGGCACATGTTTTAAGAATCATGAATAAGTTATAGTACTGGCCCCATGAAAGTCCAAATTGAGTCGCTAAAACATGTGAAAAGTATGCGATCAACTTTCATTGTATTTAGTTTTGAGGGGGAGGGGGGGGGTCCAACTCAAAACTAGATTTATTTAGTTTCCTATCAGACATAGAACTTTTGATGCCTCCCCTTAAACATTTGTTTTTCAGGTTCTGAAGCGTGATCTTCAACGTTCCCTGAGGAAAAAGCGTCCCGGACATCTGCAGCAGTTTATCTTGCATTGGGACAATGCCCCTACGCACACTGCAATCCTGACCAGCAACACAGTCCAAACACTTGGATTTCAACAACTTGAACATGCCCCTTATTCACCTGATCTTGCCCCCAGTGACTTTTATTTGTATGGGGAACTAAAAAGAAACCTTAGTGGAAATAATTTTCAATCCTGTGAGGAATTGAAAAATGCCGTAGTACTAGCCCTACAAGGAATGAGTTCTAATGGATTTAATTCTGTGTTCAAGGAATGGGTATCCAGACATGAGAAATGTGTTGCAAATGGTGGCAATTATGTAGAATGAACTATTATTAGTAACTGTGCAATAGTATGATTTATATTGTTGTGAAATAAAATGTTGAGGATATAACAATTTCAGATCTTGTTGATATTTTGAGATTACGCATTACACGTTAAGTAATTTGCCCCGGGTTACGCGATATCGGGTTACTATAGCAACCATAATTTCAACCAATGAAATGATTGAATTCCAATCTTTGAGATGGTAACTCAGAAATGTTGTGGGTACATGTATACCAAATTTCATGAAGATCTGATGAATACTTTTGAAATTACAACATCTTTGACGTTACTTCTGGATCACCCTGTATATAAAGTACTTTAGAACATACAGCATCCATGTGGGTTTATGAAATGAATTTATTCTTGATATCTGATTGGTTCATCTGGCCATGATGTGACACATTTATGTTTAAGTACATCAAAGTTAAGGAGGTTGAACATATTACATTACAATGTATATATGCAATATTTTCTTATACCAATTATTCAAAAAAATGAAAACATCTCCATTACTCAATTTCATAGTATTGTATTTTCTGTTTAGGATTTTCAACACAAACAACTTGTGGATCAATCTCAACGCTATTCATCGTGTCGTAGAGGAACGCACCTTACATATGGAGATTATCGTTAATCCTAAGACATTAGACAACGGAGTTAATGTTATACAGTTGGAAACAGCCGTCGGAGCAGCCATTAAGTCATTTGACGGAGCTTTGGGTGAGTCTTTGTTCTAAAAATAAATCCTCAAGTCAGTCTCTTGTGCATAAATGTTCCCTGGTTTTTCATTTGCTAGTTGTTTTTCTCGTATTTTTTTTATTCATCAATACTTTTCATCTACATAGTATCAGCTCACAAATATAATCGGGCCAACATCCTCTTGGATGTACATGTATAAAGCCTTTTTATTACATTACTATTTGATGGTTTTTTTAATTGGAAAATTTCAGTGTAGTTATCATAGACATGGAAAAATTTCTATTTTATTTTCAATGATTGGATTTATACTTGCATGATGTATATACTTTTAGGTATCAATGTACCGAGGAGCAGGTTCTTGCCTATGAAGAAGACGCAAGATTTAAAATTTTATACTTGCATGTATATACTTTTAGGTATCAATGTACCAAGAAGCAGGTTCTTGCCTGTGAAGAAGACACAAGATTTAAGATTTTATACTTGCATGTATATACTTTTAGGTATCAATGTACCAAGGAGCAGGTTCTTGCCTGTGAAGAAGATAGAAGATTTAAGATTTTATACTTGCATGTATATACTTTTAGGTATCAATGTACCAAGGAGCAGGTTCTTGCCTGTGAAGAAGATACAAGATTTAAGATTTCATACTTGCATGTATATACTTTTAGGTATCAATGTACCAAGGAGCAGGTTCTTGCCTGTGAAAAAGACACAAGATTTAAGATTTTATACTTGCATGTATATACTTTTAGGTTTCAATGTACCAATAAGCAGGTTCTTGCCTGTGAAGAAGATGCAAGATTTAAGATTTTATACTTGCATGTATATACTTTTAGGTATCAATGTACCGAGGAGCAGGTTCTTGCCTGTGAAGAAGACGCAAGATTTCAGATTTTATACTTGCATGTATATACATGTACTTTTAGGTATCAATGTACCAAGGAGCAGGTTCTTGTGGAGAAGACGCAAGATTTAAGATTTTATACTTGCATGTATATACATGTACTTTTAGGTATCAATGTACCGAGGAACAGGTTCTTGTGGAGAAGACGCAAGATTTCAGATTTTATACTTACATGTATATACATGTACTTTTAGGTATCAATGTACCAAGGAGCAGGTTCTTGTGGAGAAGACGCAAGATTTCAGATTTTATACTTGCATGTATATACATGTACTTTTAGGTATCAATGTACCGAGGAACAGGTTCTTGCCTGAGAAGACGCAAGATTTAAGATTTTATACTTGCATGTATATACTTTTAGGTATCAATGTTCTAAGAAGCAGGTTCTTGCCTGTGAAGAAGACACAAGATTTAAGATTTTATACTTGCATGTATATACATGTACTTTTAGGTATCAATGTACCGAGGAGCAGGTTCTTGCCTGTGAAGAAGACGCAAGATTTCAGATTTTATACTTGCATGTATATACATGTACTTTTAGGTATCAATGTACCAAGGAGCAGGTTCTTGTGGAGAAGACGCAAGATTTAAGATTTTATACTTGCATGTATATACATGTACTTTTAGGTATCAATGTACCGAGGAACAGGTTCTTGCCTGTGAAGAAGACACAAGATTTAAGATTTTATACTTGCATGTATATACTTTTAGGTATCAATGTACCGAGGAGCAGGTTCTTGTGGAGAAGACGCAAGATTTCAGATTTTATACTTGCATGTATATACATGTACTTTTAGGTATCAATGTACCGAGGAACAGGTTCTTGCCTGTGAAGAAGACGCAAGATTTCAGATTTTATACTTGCATGTATATACTTTTAGGTATCAATGTTCTAAGAAGCAGGTTCTTGCCTGTGAAGAAGACACAAGATTTAAGATTTTATACTTGCATGTATATACTTTTAGGTATCAATGTACCAAGGAGCAGGTTCTTGCCTATGAAGAAGATACAAGATTTAAGATTTTATACTTGCATGTATATACTTTTAGGTATCAATGTACCAAGGAGCAGGTTCTTGCCTGTGAAGAAGACGCAAGATTTAAGATTTTATACTTGCATGTATATACTTTTAGGTATCAATGTACCAAGGAGCAGGTTCTTGCCTGTGAAGAAGACACAAGATTTAAGATTTTATGCATGCATGTATATACTTTTAGGTATCAATGTACCAAGGAGCAGGTTCTTGCCTGTGAAGAAGACGCAAGATTTAAGATTTTATACTTGCATGTATATACATGTACTTTTAGGTATCAATGTACCAAGGAGCAGGTTCTTGTGGAGAAGACGCAAGATTTAAGATTTTATACTTGCATGTATATACATGTACTTTTAGGTATCAATGTACCGAGGAGCAGGTTCTTGCCTGTGAAGAAGACGCAAGATTTCAGATTTTATACTTGCATGTATATACATGTACTTTTAGGTATCAATGTACCAAGGAGCAGGTTCTTGTGGAGAAGACGCAAGATTTAAGATTTTATACTTGCATGTATATACATGTACTTTTAGGTATCAATGTACCGAGGAACAGGTTCTTGCCTGTGAAGAAGACACAAGATTTAAGATTTTATACTTGCATGTATATACTTTTAGGTATCAATGTACTGAGGAGCAGGTTCTTGTGGAGAAGACGCAAGATTTCAGATTTTATACTTGCATGTATATACATGTACTTTTAGGTATCAATGTACCGAGGAACAGGTTCTTGCCTGTGAAGAAGACGCAAGATTTAAGATTTTATACTTGCATGTATATACTTTTAGGTATCAATGTACCGAGGAACAGGTTCTTGCCTGTGAAGAAGACGCAAGATTTAAGATTTTATACTTGCATGTATATACTTTTAGGTATCAATGTTCTAAGAAGCAGGTTCTTGCCTGTGAAGAAGACACAAGATTTAAGATTTTATACTTGCATGTATATACTTTTAGGTATCAATGTACCAAGGAGCAGGTTCTTGCCTATGAAGAAGATACAAGATTTAAGATTTTATACTTGCATGTATATACTTTTAGGTATCAATGTACCAAGGAGCAGGTTCTTGCCTGTGAAGAAGACGCAAGATTTAAGATTTTATACTTGCATGTATATACTTTTAGGTATCAATGTACCAAGGAGCAGGTTCTTGCCTGTGAAGAAGACACAAGATTTAAGATTTTATGCATGCATGTATATACTTTTAGGTATCAATGTACCAAGGAGCAGGTTCTTGCCTGTGAAGAAGACGCAAGATTTAAGATTTTATACTTGCATGTATATACTTTTAGGTATCAATGTTCTAAGAAGCAGGTTCTTGCCTGTGAAGAAGACACAAGATTTAAGATTTTATACTTGCATGTATATACTTTTAGGTATCAATGTACCAAGGAGCAGGTTCTTGCCTGTGAAGAAGATACAAGATTTAAGATTTTATACTTGCATGTATATACTTTTAGGTATCAATGTACCAAGGAGCAGGTTCTTGCCTGTGAAGAAGACGCAAGATTTAAGATTTTATACTTGCATGTATATACTTTTAGGTATCAATGTACCAAGGAGCAGGTTCTTGCCTGTGAAGAAGACGCAAGATTTAAGATTTTATACTTGCATGTATATACTTTTAGGTATCAATGTACCAAGGAGCAGGTTCTTGCCTGTGAAGAAGACGCAAGATTTAAGATTTTATACTTGCATGTATATACTTTTAGGTATCAATGTACCAAGGAGCAGGTTCTTGTCTGTGAAGAAGACACAAGATTTAAGATTTTATACTTGCATGTATATACTTTTAGGTATCAATGTACCAAGGAGCAGGTTCTTGCCTGTGAAGAAGACGCAAGATTTACTGATAGTCATGAGTAATCTATACTTTATGAAACATGGTAGCTTGAGAATGAGTGAAAAGCGACAATTCTCAACCGTCCCTCTTGTGAAACTAGGAACACATTTTGATAAGGTTAGCATTAATAGATAAAACTCCCTTTGAATCAATCTTATGCATTTATGTCAAAATTAGCTCGAATTGGTAGTTTGAGAAAGAGAGAAAATGCGCTTTTTTGAAATAAAGCAAATAAAATCTTTCAACTTATAATTCTTCTAGACCGAGAGTTTTCTTTAAATTGCTCTTTGAATGAATAATTTATATTATTGTGCCTATTTTTTTCTTTGGGCCATGTATGAAGACAGTTACTCTCCTACAGTAGAAGATGGAGTAGACTGAAAAGGGGAGCAAATGCTTTAACTTCACCCAACTTTTTTTAGGTTAAAAGCTTCAGTAGCAGGTTTGCTAACGTACCAGACATCATGGAACTTGACCATCTCACTGTATCTGGGGATGTAACATTTGGCAAGAATGTATCATTAAGGGTAGGTATATAGGCTTTGATTTGATTTGATTTGAAAACTATATTTATTCTGGGTAGCTCTATCAGTACAAAACTGGCCTTCCTAGAGGCCCAGTAAGTTCCTTGTATGGTGCACAAAATGGAATGTAGTACTGTATTAGCATAGTCATTCTTCTATTTATGAGACTGATTTTCAGTACATGAATGGATGTAGTACAGATTCTCAATCAGAAATATTGATCTGCCCATTTGTGACATAGTTTTTGCAATTTTACCTACTTTTGCTACTTGATCTATTTTTAAAAGATGAGAATAATAAATCGTCACATTTTTGGTCTCAAATCTAGTTTAGTAATAAGAAATTTTAAAAAAGTTCAAAATGGCTTTTGTTGAAAATATGTCACCGTGAGAGCCAAGTACGCATTAATACCATATTATCTCTAATAGGTATTTAGTTTTGATACAAGAAAACTGTGCTTAAAATCATTCACAATTCATTGAGCCCTGGATTTATGAATCTATCTATAGAACGTAGCCAGTTTCTTTTGTTGTCGTAATACCCAAATATTTTTTTTATCTTTTTTATTTTTCTGTTTCAAAAAGTAAAAAACCAATACCCAAATATAAAATCATTGAACATTTTACATTTCAGGGCACAGTGATTATTATAGCCAACCATGGGGACCGTATTGACATACCACAGGGTGCCATATTAGAGAACAAAATTGTATCCGGAAATCTGAGAATTTTGGACCATTAGGAAAATGAATATAGAAAACCTAACAGTATAACCTATATCTGTGGAACACCTGGACATGTTTATAAGAACTCTGGTATTATTTGAGATATATAACTACAAAGTGAACACTCTTATGTTGAATGTGCATGTACATCATAATGTGAACATCAGCTTCAAAATGTGAACCACCTTAAGGGCCAAAAATCTGGCCTTTTGGATGTCATTTTTTCATCATAAAATGGGCCTTTTTGGAAATTGGGCTTAATTTTTTGATAGCCCTAATCTTAATTAAGGGACTTTCTAAAAATGTTCATCTCCTGCTTTTCAGATGTCCCTGCAGTATGATACTATATATAAATGTATTTAGCTCAATACATTGAGATGTTATGCAATCGTTTGGCAGTTTAAAATGAGCAGAAATGAATAAAAAGATATACAGTCAATTTATACCTGACAATATTACAAAAGTCAACATTGATTATCTTACATCATCAGTATTGAATAGAAAATATGAGTTGGAGAAGCAGGCCCGTAGCCAGGGGGGGGGGGTTGATGGGTTTGAGCGAACCCCCCTTGGCAAATCCTGGCTACGGGCCTGAGAAGTAAAACATTATATAGGAGCTTTACCTATGAAAAGAGACTTATAAACAGAATGCATATTGTGATTCATTACATTACATATTGTGATTCTCTACATATTCTTCTATGTCAGCTTGAGAAAAAGTGATTTTTGTAAAACATAATGGAGTTCAATGAGTGGCTTACATGTGCAATATAGAAAGTTGGAAATAATGTTATGTGTGCTGACAGATAGATGGCAGTCATGTTATGGTAAATTTACTCAATAGACGATTGATAAAAACCTGTCAAGTGTAAAGACCACTGGGACTATTCAAAAGTGTTCTGATTGGAAGGTGTTTACACTAAATTTAACATAGTTGTAGTTCATTAAAAGATGTTCAGATTAGAAAAGTGTCGTTTGTACAGGTTTTACTGTACTCAGTCGATGAAATAGAGATTATAGTGTATGATTATGTAATATGGTTGGTGAAATATATATCTTGAGATTTCAATTGTCTGTTTTTAATACTGTGTGATCTGTGATACTCTTCTGAAATGAAGGATTTTAGCGGTCTAAATGTGAATTTCACAGTGCTTGCAAGGATTTCCTCCCAGGGAGGCAACTCGATATGTTCCAAAATTGAATACGATTTTGAATCAGGAGTTCTGGTCTTATACATAAAGAAAAAATTCAAAACACACAAGAAGGGATCAAGATATTAGCTCAAATCTTTTGGATTGCTGATTATGAATTTATAACCAGTTTAACATCAGACAATAACAATATTGATTTCCTACTTTTTCATTGTTGGACATTATCAAGATTGCATATTGGGATCCAATCCTCTTTGCAGTGCTTGATTATTTGATTGTGCTGCCATCTTTATTTAAACATTATTTCTATTGTCCATCAGTTAACATAATGACTGTATTGATTGCCAGAATCATGTTAAATATCTGGTTTATTTCAAGAGCCTAGCTATGCCCGTGTATTGGTGCCTTTTGTAGACGTATAAGAGATTTCCAATTTCTTTAGGCATTGACATTTTTCAACATTTTGGACAGAATGACTGAATGTACTTCAATCAAGAATGTCTGTTTAATTTTAGTCCAATCATTTGCTTGTTTTTGTTGAAAATGATATTAGTTGTGATGAAATATATGATGAGTATTATACATGTTATACAGTATGTACATTGATTGGTACGCTTATATTTTTTTAATTATAAGGATTGATTGAATTTAGAAGCAGATGTTATATGTATGCACTTATAGGTAGTTCACAAAACTACTGGGGAGAAAAATATATGAAATGTAGAAATAAATTTTATGGTTACTATTCCAAAAAAATATTTACTTTGTATGACTTGTATCTATGAGGTTTATAATACATCAAGGCTAAAAAACATTTGGGATACTCAACATTACCTTTAAGACCAACCACAATTCTAATTACATCAAATCTGTTTGTACACAGTGTAAGCCTGTTCAGCTACATTTGCAACAAGTCATTAATATGCAAAATGTCACCACCTGCCATTTGTTACAGATGCTGAAATTTGTTACAGACGCCAAACACCCTCCACAAAAAGTTGGGTGACTATACAAATATGTCACCACTTGTGGTGGTGACTTAAAAATAGAGTGAGAACCATTTTGATGCGACTCGGGGGGGGGGGGGGCAGAGATTTCCACTTATTAACCTGAGATTAAAATTTTCACACAACATCTCCAATTTGTTAAATTAAAATGCCTGTTTTTGTAGCATTGTCAGTAATATTATACGTTTGCATTTGGTAGTTAGCTCTGACTACATTTGCATGGTAATAATAAAAGAGAATTGTTAAATAAATCTATTTAAACATATGGTATATTAAAGCTGCATTTTGTTTGACTGTTTTGTCCGACTAAAGTATTGTAAAGTACATGTATACCACTATTACCCATCACATGATTCCCATCCATGTGATGCAGTCTAACAATATAGCAGCAGAGTGATGGAGCACTTCTCATATGATGCTTTGGTCCAGTCTAGGTTGATCCTTGATGCTTTAAGCAACCCAGGGTGTTTGATGAAATGATTCACAATTACGACTAAAGACTTTGCCATGTGTCTGATCCTAAAAACAAAATTATTTTCTGACCAGGATCACTGGGGGAATTTCATGACAGAGTATCACTGAAATGATCAATGAGTGGCTAGAGTGGTCAGGAAGCAATAGGCTAGTATGGTTTATCAGATAAAAAATAGTTGAGTCGAGTGAGACATTAAACTGTAATTTTTTTTCTTTTTGCAGCTCATTTAATGATTGCTCAGTCCCTTATTGAAGCCGGAAAAACCATTGAGATTTTGTCAAGCTTGTAACTGTCAGTTGTGCTTCCTCTGGTGTGTTGGAGCGTTAACATCAGCTGCCTCTAGTCAGATCGACTAACAAAACAACCTTTTTTGGGGTTGTCGAGTTGGCCAAGAGGGCTTGAGTGCCAGCAAGTACAGGCTAGGCGATTGGGTGCCATAACCACGAGGTTGCGAGTTCGAGACGTGTGTGCTCCTTGTGTTTATTCATTTGTAACTGAGCTGCCTTATATACACATGCAAAATCTGCGTGAACTCTTGACTTAGAAGGCAATGCTAATTTTATTTAATCATTTACAAATGAGAGAGTTACATCGGGGTTATATACAGTGTCTGGAAGTTCAATGTTAGTTATTCTTGGAAAATTAAACAAAACAATTGCCCTGTCGACGAAGCTCAAGGATCACAGGAATTACTATCTACCCATGGCACTCTTCTCATCTATGACATCATCTGTTGTGGCGTGAATGGTTGGGAGGAGTACCAAGTTGCGTGCGGATTGTTATCCAATCCAGAGTAACAAGTTCACACACCTCCCGCTATGTGACTTGTACACCCATATATGGCAGATTGTGGGCGTCCCCACTCAGTAATGAAATCCCTGAGCTTCGTGAAGAGGGGGATTGTTTGCACACGTGAGAGTGCAACATCCAGGTTCAGAGGTATACACCTGCATCTGGAGGCTGTTTAACTCCAGATGCTGTTTAACTGCTTCCTGCATCTTGAGGTCGTACTGCCATGTCCTGTATCTGGGGGCTGTCCTGCTACTTCCTGTGACTGGTCCTTGTGCTGCCTCCACACACAGGGGTACACCTACGAACCAGGATGGAACACTCACACATGTGCAATGGTGGTTTGGTTTAGTTCATTTATATAGATAAGTGGTAATTGTAATAGATGATATATTTACCTCGATCTGAATAACGTTATAACATTTTCTAGGCTTATGAAGACAATACATGG